CTGCTGAAGCTGGAACATCCACCTCTGCTTATGGAAATGTCATTAGGAAACGTTTAACGTTGTTAACCTGCAAAGTACAGTAAAACGCGCGCAAATAAACAAGAGTGAAGTACATTAGTCCTAATTGCTGAGCCGCTGCACTGGCGGGAGGAAGGGAGGCACCAGCTCCACCTTGCAGTGACGGGGCTTGTGGAGCGATGCTGGACGGCGCCAGCGAGAGCCGGAGGAGGCACCGTGTGTGCAGAGCAGGAACCTGCACCCGCAACACTCACCGCATGGTGTCTGACACACAGGTCTTTCCCATGCATGAAGGGCATCTTTTTCTTCCCTGTTCTAAGCCAGGTTGTCACGATGGGGCCAGTTCTCGTTGCTTGGAGAAGCGCAGAGGTGCCCGGGGTCTCCCGGCCACCCTGGTCTAGGCAGCCGCGTTGGTGTCCGCCGGTGTTAAGCGATGTCTTCCCAACCCTGCGCTCAGAGTGAACAAATGAAAGCCTTCAAATAATGTAACTGAACTGCCTTTTTTTTATTCTTTCATATTATCTTTTTTGTTTTGCTTTTCTATAAATTATTTAGTCATGTGAGTGGAGAAGACAGCAGTAACTGCATTTCAGTGCAGTTCAAAACATAATAGTAAACAAGATCTAGGGCAGAATATTAAACTCTCTAAGGACTTCAGGAACTGGTGATAAAGTACCTTTTGTGCTGACTGAAAAATCTGCCCGACCTGGGGCTGCAACAGCTTCCAGAGCCAGGACTGGCCACAGGCTGCCAGGAGCTCTGAGTTACGTTCGCTAATTGTCCCACCAGTTCTCCTAAACACTGTCTTGTGCTTTGCACCATGAATTGAGGTAGAGGAGAGAAGACAGAGCCTTAATGAAGCCAGCACAATAACTCAGAAATTATGGGGATGCTCAGATCTTTCAGTAGGCTCTTTGAACATCGGATGCTCCTGCAATTTAGGAACCGTGACCGTAACCTTGTCTCAGAAGGCAGAAGGGGAGCGCTCAGGTGGATGTGCAAAGCCGTCTAGGACTATGGAGTGGTCCTTGGCTTATGGGCACATGGAGTGCTGTACTTGAGTGCTTTTCTGCTGCTTGGATTTGATGCCTGGGGGTCTTCCCTCTGAACACGTGTGGTGCACCCAGTCCTGAGCCCTGGCGCTTGTCTAACCACCCTGGCAGAGGTGCTGGTGGTGCCATCGCTAGCCCTGATCACAGAGCGCTGTAGGACACCTCTGTTCCTTTGCTTGAGGAGTGACATGTTCCTGGTGCTGCTTAAGAGCAGCTCTGTGCATGTCCTTAGCAAGGTATGTTCATCACGTGTATGTGCCTTGCCAGGTCCGGTCCCTCTGGAGCCTGCCTGGCTCCCCATGTGTTTCCTCCCACGAGGTCACCTTCCCTCTCCATAAGGAGGACCTTCTCAAGCAGGCAAGCTACGAATGCTCTCCTTGCTGCTCCTGCAGTGCAGCTTTGTGAGAAGACATCAGTGGGGACTTGTCAGCAGGCTCCAAGCGGTGTCATCTTGCGGGTGTCACAGAAGGCTCTTTCAAGTGTCAGTCCTCAGCATTAATTACCAGGGATGGCAAACCTGATGAAGAGGGAGCATTGCCTCCACCTTTGTGTGCTCATGGCCTTCTCCTGCGTGGTGGGGCTCTCCAGCATGGCGGGAGCCCTGGGAAGCTCTGCTGGACCCGGGTGCTGCCTCCCCTACTTCATCACAAGTTTGTGCATGGGCTCGATTGCACTTTTGGTGGGTGGATGCATTTTTTTCTGCAGCTCTTGCTCGGAGAAAGTCTGTTTTGCAAATCCCAGGCGAGCTGAGCACAAATGCGCTGATCCAAACTTTCCTCGGGATTCTTGGATGTGCCTCTGTGGAAAGGCAGCCCCCTGGCTCCGCCGGAGCATCGGAAGCGGAGCTGAGGGCAAACAAGCAGGAGCAACGCGCTGAATAATGACATCTAGCAACAAGCGCGTCTCAGTGATAAAGTTAATGAAATTACAGGTTCTGACCTGATACCAGGCTCTGCTGTGGGTAGATAAACAGCAGGGCAAAGATGAGATGTTTATTTCTCCCCAGCTGCAGCCTGTAATCTGGACACACCGTGCAGGGCCATTAACATTATTACTGTTATGCAAAATCATTTTTGATTCGGGAAGGAAAAAAAAAAATGCCCCAACTCCCTAGAAAATGGAAAGCTGACAAAATTAGAATTGCAACAGGAGCACAAGCTGACCTGGTGACATTGCACAGAGCCCAGATGAGTTTAGACAGAATAAAAATCCAAGACAGTTTATGAGGAAGAAAAGTAGTATCTTATTAAAAAAAATAAAATTGAGCGCAGGTGGAGGCAAGAGACAGGGAGTTCTCATCAGCCAAAAGGGTCCCTTGGTGCTGCTGGGGAAAGGGGGTTGTGCAGCCTTCTTGCAGTTTTGGGATTGCTTCTCCAATAATGTCTTGCTTTGTGGGTCTGAGAGGTTCGATGTGGCGTGTGCTGTTGTGAGATGTGGTTCCTCAGGGCTTGGCCTCTGCTGCTCCTGTGTGTTTGAAGTCTTCTGCAATTACAAGGTTTTGGTAAAGTCCTGTGGGTGCCGTCACGTTCCTCCGTGTGTCTGTGTCCTCCATTGCCTCTCTGTGTCTTGTTCCTCCAGACAGTTGATGCTGGATGTTCCTGACAGCTTCTGTCCTCCCTTGCCTTTCCTGAGCAGATGGCCTGAAGCTTCAGTCCTTTGGGAATTCCTGACTTGTTTTTGCTCTTGTTGTGTCTTTGGCTCTCATCCATCATCGTATCACTTTGTCCTCTAGCAGCAGGAATGCTTCACTTCTGTTCATTAAGAAATATTTCCAAAGATTTGGTCCCGAGTCCATCGCAGGCAGCACTGTTAGATCCAACAGCATTACCCGTGGGACACATTATTGCATGG